AGCCCTAAATATAACAGTAAAAAAGTTAAGTACTTTATAGGCAAAGACCGATTTCTGATATTTGGAGTATATCGCCTGTCAGCCAAGTGTCAAGACTGTTCTTTTGAATAGCTATCCATTTAGCTTTAATGCCAAACTTGAGTTATTTTCTCTTTCTATGGCTGTGATACGAGTGATTTTGGCTCCTAGTTTATAACCTATTTAAGAAGCCTGCATGAGTTTAGATTGATATCTAAATGTTATAACACTGATCTTTAATAAAATGTGCCTACATTTTTCAACTTGATATATAACACTCCTTCGTTATTAAACAAAAGAATGCTAAAAAGTTATCAACACGTAATTTGCCTATTTTAGGCAAGTCCGTTATGTAGCTAAAGTTAACTAGTTCTGTATGACCTCGTGCTTAACGTATTTGCCTCTAATGACACGAATATACGCTTCGAATTCTGCTGTGGCATATTTTGGATCCTAGGCGAGTAATAACCGGCAATCCATTCTTGAAGAAACGTATCTTTTTGAATGCGTTATGCAACGAATTTTAACATAATCAAGTCTTTAACCAACGTTTTCAAGGGTAGGTTCACTATCAGTTTCAATAGCATGGCGCTAGACTGTTTAAGAAAGTATCCACATCCTCGAGTCTCAAGCAAAATTGTCTTAATTTAGTGGAGCAAGAAGCATGCTTCAATCCCTGCCTGGCAGCCTAAGTGGAATTTGTGCTTACATTTTTCCCTATTTCTTCACCCAATATCCTTGCTTACTCACAAACAGGGCTTCCTGACGGCCAAAGCACTGGCTAAAAAGATGACTACTCTGTACAGGTTGGCACGTGAACAGCTCTCCAAACAGCATCACTACGACTTTGGTCTTCGAGCCCTAAAATCTGTCCTAGTAATCGCCGGAGATATGCGCCGTGGAGAGTCTGACATTTCCGAAGAACGAATACTAATGCGAGCACTGCGGGATATGAATTTGCCAAAGTTTATTTTCGAAGACGTGCCACTTTTCCTTGCCCTTTTGCAGGACCTGTTCCCAGGATTAGATTGTCCACGAATTCGGTATCCGGACTTTAACGACGCAGTAGAACGGTGTCTAGTTGAGGCAGGATACGTGCTTACTACTGAACAGGCAGATAAAGTTGTTCAGCTCTACGAGACAATGAGAACTCGGCACACTACTATGATTGTTGGTCCTACTGGTGGTGGCAAATCAGTCGTTATAAAGACGTTGTGTGAAGCACAAACCCGTCTTGGTCTGCAGACTCGGATGCATGTCATCAACCCGAAAGAGCGTAGCGTTGTTGAACTATATGGTCAACTTGATCCGAATACTCGTGACTGGACAGATGGCTTGCTTTCAAATATCTTTCGAGAGATAAACCGACCAACTGAAAAAAAGGTGCTTTTTCACATCATTTTATGCTCATTTGGTTACTTAGTTTGTATGTAATTTGAGTTTCAAGGCAAGTATAATTTCGCTGAAAATTTAGTATCGATAATTTTGCTACAGATACTGGCATCAATGATTAAAATTATTCTAAAGATTATAAATTTAATGATAATTAGAACCTATATTTTCTGTTGATAATAGATGAGACCGTGATGAGGTTGATGGTTTGGTATGCTTGGAAGTGAATCCTAGTGAAACTAGTCAGATATGAGATGAGGATATCGTCGGCTATTTTTACTCGCAATATCTTCAAAACAGCCTATTGTCAATAATAGATTTGATTACTATATTGACTATCTAATTCTAAATTTAAGTTACTTTTTGGCCTATTTAATTTTTCAATTCCGTATATGGACATAAATATTTTAGATATTTATGTATTTAGGTAATAATATATTTTAAATTTATTTACTTTTACTATTGTTTAATTTAAAGTTTCATTTTGCCTTTACTACCACATTGAGGACAGAAACGGATAAAACCTTCGTTCATCTAACCAGAACTCAGCGTAAATTACCAGTCAAAGTTAAGGGAAATGATATCTAATTATTTGTTGTATGCGACAGCAATGTGGTGACAGCACTTTGTATTGGATATATTCTCTAATAAATCGTAAGATTTGCCTCTCTGCAGCTTTTAACACTCTGGAATTATTATGATACTTGACTTTCAAGCGCAAAATTGCTTGCTCATCTTTGACATCAAAATTTGTTAGATGCTTTCATTCACTTATATATCTCCTTAATAAGATACAAAAATAGGTCAGAAGGCATGTAATAGTGCTCGAAAAATATACAATGAGTAGGCATTCCTAGAGGAACTTATCTGAGTAAAAATAGGCTTTACAAAATGACGTCTATTCAGAATAAGCTAACCTTAACCAAACAGGGAGCACTGCAACTCTATCCATAGTAAGCATAAAAGACGTGCATCCATAATTCTCTTTTTATATTGCTCATTAAGTTATACTAAATTTAATATGAGATGTATTCACCCTTTTTAGTTTAAGTTAATTAAGAACTGGTAGTAGAATTTTCCCACAATGATATGGATAGAGCAGACGTTTCCAGTGAATTTCACATAGCCTTGCTTTTCCAAAAGTTCTTCTCATCCAGGGTGAATTGTATTGTACTCCAAAATAAAATGCTTGTTAATGGAATGAAAGAAAACGTAATCAAATTGTCGGAAATCATTATTAAGGGATTTACTGCTTGCCACATTATAATGTACCCTGGTTAGGCAGCTGCCGGCCTACACTCCCAATTCCTCATAATGGAGGTGGTATTGACTAGATTAAATAATGTCTTGCTGTAAACATAGGTGAATATCATTTATTTTACCCAATCCTTAGATTTTGAATCTCCCAATTTTTGCCTTTACTTTCTTTTTAACAGATATATTTTTAAGCATATTAATTTATTCAGCTGTAATATGAGAGCATTCATTTGGGGGCGGTAAATGGGCAAAATGACCCTAAAGTGAACCTCTCTATTTTTAAAATTTCTTACTGATTTTTAGATGATAATCATGCTTTTTGTCTAAACAGATGACGATACGGGACAGGTGAATGAAAATAAGTCGTCACCTAGACTTCCTTAACAGTAAGGACCCTCTCATGCGTTACTCTAAGCAAACTTTGCAATTGGTTTAGGAAGGCTTGGGTATAACCGATTACTAAATCATTCTTATGCCTCTTTATGACATCTTTTCCGTTTGAGTGTTAACATAAGTAAGTCCATAATATGAATGGCATAACAAACTAACAATTATCTGCTTTGCACTGCTCCTTGTCCTAAACTTCACATAACCTAAAATATAGATTAATTAAATGGTGAGATGGTGATTGAGCCGAAGTCCCAATTGTACGAAATGCTTTAGGTTAAAATATTTTATGGCATCATAAAGTAAAATATGGTATAGGCACACCGAAAGAATGTCGAAAAACATAAATTTGTGGTGCAAAGATATAAGTACTGCTCTAACGCCTAAAAGGACAACTCTATTCGTTTATAATTGAACATCAGGGAATATTTTTATTTTGGCTTGAAGTATTTTATTAGTTTGAAACTATGATCTGCTTTTATTGATGCGAAAGAGTATTCCTGAAAATACTTCGAACTTTAAAAAAGCTTATATGATGAAAAGTGTAACAAACTTTTAGAAGGAATTGATCAAAGTTATTAGATTAGGCTTTATTTCTGTATCACGAATATACATATCACATAATGCACAGTAGTTGGATATGTCTAGAATACATTATTATAAATTAAAGAATACTCGCAGCTAAACTTAAAATTAGAAAATCCTTCAATCAATTAGGGAATACATTAAATTTGAGGAATACCAGCAAGAAGTTAAGTTAAAACTTCTTGTGTATAATTAAAAGACTCAAGGATAGAGAGTGGTGAGCTGCCTGCGACTTAAATAGTAGATACAAAGAGAAACTTGGTTTATCTGAATCTCCTGATAACCAAACCACTCTATAACGATTTATCTAGGTTTTTAATTTTTAATCTTTTGACTTAATTGAGGCTATATAGGAAGTAAGATAGAGCCGGATGGTGTTCTTGCTTTATTGTTAATGTGAGACTTTTACAAGAATGACACCCAGCTCGGATGATGTCCATCATATGATGGATGAAAGCTCAGCAAGTTTTCACCCAAAACGAGGGAGGAATTCTCGTGGACTGCGCCAACATGAATATCGTATAAAAGCCAAAAGGCTGCAGTACAACGAGTTTCATCCGTTTCCATCTGGTGAGATCGACCAAAGAATCTCTTCTTCATGCACTTTCATTCGAAGTAAAGGTCCCCCTAACGACTAAAATATTCTTTTCTTGTCTTAGTTCCAATCACGGTCATTTCTCAATAGATTTTAGCCCACTTTTTCTGTCTCACATGAAAAGCAAAAAGCCTGTCAACATGATCAGACGTATGTCCGACTTCGCGCAATCGGACTAATGGCCGAGAACAGGCGTTACTTTTTCTCTCGAAGAAAGTTTGTCAGATTGTTAGTAAATCAGATCTGTGAGCTATGTTTACCCTAATTCATTTAAGGTGATGATGAAGGATTATTAGTTGAATTTTCCCACAAGTATTGATTAGAGCTTACCATTCCATTGAATTTCACATAGATTTGCTTTCCAAAAAGATGTTCTCATTCATGGCAATAAGTAATGTCTTTTATTGCTATAGCAAATATGAGTATGCTTCATCGACAATTCCACCACAAAATTTGATATGGGAAAATACCTGGCTTTCCTTGAAATTTACATCTACCTTTTGGCCTAAGGCCATTCATCTTAATGTGGCGTAGTGGCTAGCGTGTTGAGATTACATGCTGCTAGGTCATGGCTCGACTCTCACTGTGGGTGTTGATAAGATCTAGGTGAGGTCGAAAGTACAGTCCGCCCTTGGAAAAGCAAAGCTATGCACAATTCAATGGAAACGTCAGTGTTACTTTTTATGCTCTTATTACTTTGAGCCATCACCGCTTGTTTTGTACAGATGCGAGCACATGCAAGCACATACACATATGATACTGACACACTCACATGCTTCGAGGTTGGTATATGACTGGAACTAGTCAAATCACATTTTTCCTCATCAAAGAGCTCACGTATAGAGTATATATACACCATTTTAAGGATGAGTCAGCAAGTTTTCTTGACTATTTAGCTTGATTATGATTGTAAGGACGATCCACTGCTCCGGCGATGTCCGTCATACGACGAAAGAAAGCTTAGCACGTTTTCACCGGAATCGAGTAAGATTACCTTGGAAACAGCGCCAATAAGAATGCTCCAGTAAAACCAATCGAAGTTTGATCATGAGGAATCTGACTTCATCTTATAGTGAGATTGACTTTCGAATCTATTCACTAAACAATTACTCGAAATCATGTTAAGCAGAAATAATAATTGTGTGTCGACTCTAGCAAAATCCTTACATATGTAATGGTTAAACCTCTCTGGCCACTTTACAGAATAAATTTTTGTCCGAAAGCACTATTCAGTCTATTTATCTAAAGTATCATTTCAGAAATCAAATGAAAATTGTAATTTTGGAATTTGCAATCGATCGAGATCAGGACATAGGTTATAATATATAGTTTATTTTCAATTTTATGATATTTTATTTGCTGTTAATTTCTTATATTGCCTTTATCGTTTGTATCCGACACCAGGAACGCCGTTATCTGATGTTTGATGGTGATGTTGATGCTCTTTGGGTGGAGAACATGAACTCTGTGATGGATGACAACAGACTATTGACCCTGGCTAACGGTGAGCGCATTCGACTACAAGCTCATTGTGCCCTCCTCTTCGAGGTCGGTGATCTACAATATGCTTCTCCGGCCACCGTTTCACGATGTGGTATGGTATTCGTTGATCCCAAGTACTTAGGCTACGCGCCATTCTGGCAGCGCTGGTTGGCAGGGCGAACCACCTTGCTGGGCAGAACCGAGAGTGGACAGCTGGATGGACTTTACAAAAAGTATATACCATACCTGATTGATAGAATCGTTGAAGGTCAGGGCCTAGACTCTCAACAGACAGACCGTCTTCGCACCATTCTTCCACTGACGGGGCTCAACTTGCTTGTACAATTTTGCCATCTTCTTGCCGGTTTGTTGGACATGAAAGCCGAATTTACCAGTCTTGAAGAGATAGAGGCAACCTTCTTGTTTGCTGCCTATGCCGGAATCGGGGGCACCCTTCTGGAGCCGACAGGAAGATCAGGATTTGACGCCTACGCCAAACAATTAAGCTGCCTCCCACCGGCAGCAGGCCCTGGTTCCGGTGAAGATGCGACTAGTGATCCTCTTCATGAGGTTGTGCAAGCAGGCTGGCTGCCTTCGCGCCGTCCAAGTCTCTTTGACTACGCTTATCACGTAAGCCAAGGAGTATGGACACCCTGGGCGGATCTGGTGCCTGAATACACACACAAAGTTGCTGAAGGTTGTCGATTTTCTGAGATCCTGGTGCCAACTGTGGAAACTGTACGGGTCTGCCGTCTACTGGCTATACACGTGGCCTGCCGTCGGCCACTCTTGTTAGTAGGCGAAACTGGCACTTCAAAGACTGCGATCACCCAAAGTTTTCTAAGGGAGCATGCTAGTGAAAATCAAGTAAGTATGGAAGAGAAATTGTTACCAAGGCATGTATTGACATCCATCACATGTACTTGGTCTGTCATTATTTAATTCCTCCGTTTCTTAATGTGGGGAAAAAAATTAATGTGTCTAGATTGATCAACAGAAAGTGTCCATATTTTCACATGGTTTCATGTGAAAAAGCGAAAATTTATTATGGTGACTACATCATCATACAATTAACTGTCCTGTTAACCCAAAAGTTTGTTATTATCCATCTCTACTGTTATTATATTTTTTATCTGATAATGTCGTAGCCTTAGTTTGTGTTGATCCAGATAATTTTTTGTCAGTCTATTCTGAAAGGCATACTTCTATCTCTAATATTTCTAGTTCTTTCTTTGCCTGGACTTTCTGCTAGCTTTTCTTTTAAGTTCCCCATTTCTGCTATGAAATCCTCTGCCTCTTAACTTTTGCCAAACTGTTTGGCAGCTTAAACACAAGAGAAGTTGAGTAATTTAAAGTAAGCACCTACCCCTTTTCTTACTCCGGTTCGTTTTCTCCCTAAAATCAGTGAGTTTTAGGCCTATTTTAATTGATTACATGCGTTTACCTTCCTTTAGTTATACCCCTTAATAAAAAAGCTTCATGAGAAATTAGATCTATCTCATCATTAGGAACTGCCTCTTACAGTATTTGGATTTACTATTTTATCTAATTGGAGGGCTGGGATCTGTGATAATCATAATAATGACCGTTTTTTTAAACTCAGAGAAGAAATTAGCTATTTTTCATCCCATTCATGCATTTGAAGACGAATATGATCCCTTTACTGCGAGAATCTAATCTTCAAATTAACCATTAGATATAAGACTCGCTCTACACTGTTTATATACCAATAACAGAGGCTTTTCCTCTTTTATCTACTTTAGGTCATTAAGTAATGCATGCCTACATCTTCTTTTCTTGAATCAATTTGACATATCCTTTGTTGAGTTAAGGTTCTGATGCAGCCAGTGAAATAGTTTCTATTCTTCAAGCCATTAAAGACAATAATTCTGGAGAGCGCAGTGACTTGAAAAAAATAGACTATGATAAGTTGATCTTTTGCTTGATAACAGTTTTAATTAGTTGCTTGGAGGTGGCTCTATTTTTTCCTCTAATCTTGGGATTATTGTACAGGGGACTATTAACCAATTTAAATTCATTTTTTCTTAACGTTTCTGAACTTTGATTGAGTATATTGCAGATTTTTCCCCAGCTTTGTAGTTGGAAAGAACTTTGAAATAAACCTTGATTGACATAAGATCGAAAATCTACCGAATGAAACAGTCTTTTCAAATAGTTCGTACTCTCTTTAATGCTCTTACTACTATTTTCTCCTATTATCCATTATTCGTTGGTTCATTTAGATTCGAAGTTTCATGACTTCCAAAAAATTCGTGGTATAAACCCACATGAATCTATTTATCATGTTATGATCCCCTCCATTTTTGTCAGCTACCATTATCATAACTTTTAATCCCCGTAGATGTACATCTTGAGCTTATAAAAAAAGAAATTAGTCCTTCGAATGCCAGTCTGAAGCGGAAATGCTAATTTTTTAACAAGAAATCTTCCCTCTTTAAGTTGCAAACCATACCGCTTTTATTCTGACAGCTGGTCCTCACGATCAATTTCTCATCTCGTACAACTTCTTTGGATGTTCAACGCAACCTAGAGGCGAACGTGGAAAAACGGGCCAAAGACACGTATGGACCACCTTCTGGACGTAGGCTGCTTGTTTTTATAGACGACCTCAACATGCCAGCTCTAGATGCCTATGGCACTCAGCAGCCAATCGCCTTACTACGTCTACTTGTAGAAAGATCCGGTATATTTGATCGCGGAGGCAAGGAATTGAACTGGAAGCGCCTACAGGATATTGGCTATTTGGCTGCCATGGGTCGCCCTGGAGGAGGTCGCAATGAAGTGGACCCGCGCTTCATCTCGTTGTTTACTGTACATTACGTCTGTTCTCCGGACGAAATTACTCTTACGAGTATCTACAACGCTATCCTGGCAGGGCATACTGCTCAATTTGATCCCACGATACGTGATATAGTTCCAGAAATAACGGCGATGACATTAGAACTTTACAGGTAAGTCATTTAAATTCTTAAAATTAATTATTCCATCTATTATTAATTGTAAGACAGAGACATGCTTAATAGTAAGTCGTCAATCCAAACCTTATATTGGAGTAACACAAAGTATTCTTTCCTATTTCTTTCATTCAATTACAAACAGGCAAATTTCAGTCTCATTGCCCCCAACTCCCTCAAAATTTCATTATATTTTCAATCTCCGCGATCTGAGTCGCATCTACCAAGGCCTAAGTATGACTACAATCGACAGGTTTACAAAGGCCGAGGAAATGGTGCGTGTTTGGCGGCATGAGGTCTGCCGTGTGATCATGGATAGGTTGATAAATCCTGCGGATGAAATATTTGTGACAGTAAGCAGTAATTTATATGAGAGAATTAGTTGCTTATTTGCATCGAAATCAATACTTACAAGAATAACTAGCAGTTTCTATTGAATTGACTGACGTAACATTGTGATAAATAAAAAAAAATATATATGGACTTTAATTGAATAAAATATCACATAATTATTTAATATGGAATTGTATTGGACAGTAGTACATGCGATTGTATTGGATTAGATCAGAACAATTATAAATGAAACAATGTAATAGAGAGCTTATAGTCGTAAATTTTGAGGTAAATATATTTATTTTTTTAAATCCTCAACCCTTGTTATTTCTAGTTTTATTGCATCGGCTTAAGATATCTTATAAAATTTACTACCTTACAAAAACTTTTCATATTGATTGTAAGTAGGTTTCTAAACTATTAGTATATCCAAAATCAAAGCTGTTTGCGTGAGGTAATTACCGACCGAAAATTGCATTTTTATACTTTGAAATGTTTAGGCCTCAAGATGTTGTATGAATTTCATTTAGCCTTTTCTTCCATAGGCATTATAATCGGAGCTAGACTGAAGTTTTGATCTCGTTCGTGTCTTTTTCGCGCCTCCAATGGGACATATACCCGTTTCCTTTGAAGCTTTCTTGAATGCCACGTCTGCTCTTTTAGCCACTAGCAATCTTGGCTAGGTGGCATTGAAATATAAGCTGCACTATCTGAGATTAATTCCCTTTAGGGATACTCATGAAGTCCAGACGATATCGAAGCTGCAGTCCACCCTCAGTGAGAATATCTTTTTAGGGGGTAGGGCTAAGTAGGATTTAGCGGCATCCTAAGACTAATCATTTTTTGTGGAAAATTTAGCTATCAGTCCTTCATCATCTTGTGCGGCCAAGAGTTGTTGTAAAATTTTTAGCATACTTAATAGTTTCACGCGTAAAGGCTTCGATTAAATCTTCATGAGCTTCTCTATAGTTTTCCCTGAATAGGTTCTTCCGGCCATCTCATTGCAAAATTTGGGTCAACTCACAGCTTAAAAAGTTATAACTTGATTAGCCGGGTTGCTACGATCACTTGTCACTTAAATTACTCAGTTAGTGAGCTGAGTAAATTGCATTTATCTGTATAGTCTATCCCATAATTTTTAAGATTGGTATTATAAGGATTTTAACTAATATAATTACTGGACATGATCTAGTTGTGTCAGTTTTTCGTTTCTACGATATAACCTCATTTTGCAATAAATAAATAAATAAATAAATAAATAAATAAATAAATAAATAAATAAATAAATAAATAAATAAATAAAATAAACTTGATGATTCTATAACCAAATCCATCTTTTTTAGAATTTGATAGCCGAACTTATGCGGAAAAGATGCCCTGATAGTGCAGAATTCGCACTTCGTGACCCATTGTTGTACGGAGACTATCGGACAGCCCTTGAGGAGTCAGAGCCACGTCTATATGAAGATTTGATCGACTTTAAAGCAGCCAAAGCCATTTTAACTGATGTGAGTCCATACGTTAAACAGCTTTCTGCTTTCATTTATCCTCGCATTTCAGCTAACAATATGTTGCATTTTTTCTGGTTAGGGTTATTTAAATAATTTAACCATTAGGGAGAAACAAATCCTCTTTATTGATGAGATTTACAAGTATTTAGACTTAGCTCAAACTTAATCGCTTTATAAAATCTAAACTTCGGGATTAACATGAAGAAATAAGAGGTTTACTACCTTCACTGGACCTATAACTAAGTTCATTAAAAAATTACATTTATCTTACTTTTATTTTGGTTGGTATTTCCTTATTTATTTTTCATCAAACATTTTAATTGGGTCAAATCATAACGAATATTATCATCTCATATGAATATACTATAATTTTTAGGTTCCTCTACAATATAAAACATAATACTTAAAAGCTAGTATGTTTAAGTAGATAATCTAAATATCATCAATCAAAGCACATATTATTAAATATAAATACATCCACTTGAAACAAAATGTTTCAATGGATGTTAAAATTGGACGCCTATTTTACGCTCAACAATGTGAAGTATGTATGATTTCAAAAATCAACAGGACTGTCATCATAGCTGTCATCTTAATTTTCATACTCTAAAACTTGGTAAGTAATTCTTCAAAGGTATATTCAGTTGATTTTTCCGCAAGTTCTGAGTGGTGCGGGCCTCCAGTATCTGAGCCGATTATTCAGTAGAGGTGAAAAACGGAGGCTACACATTTATCTTAACATGACACGTGTTAACTTTATCAAAAGAAATGACGTAAAGGGGATAGATGCACAAATTTGATTTTATTGAAGTTGCTGTGGTTTTGCACTTGAGCAGTATTTGGCTTAAGGCATAATATTCGATTCATTCTAAGAG